AGGAAAGATGGGTTAAGCCAGGGTGACTCGCAGAACCAAGGAAGCTAGTTTCTGATGCTCTTTATTTATTTAGAATTTGATAGAGAATTCTGACTGCTGCAAAGGATAAACATTCCCAGTGGGCAAAAAGTCACAAGGTGAAGTCGTCTCCAGTGGAGGGAACACACAGCACATGGCAGCGGCCTGATAGAGAAGCCATGCAAAGCTTCAAGCTTCGGCAGGGATTCGCGCCGAAAAGTATTGTGGCCAATCAGATTTGATTGTATGTAAGCGGGACCGCTTATGATTGGTCGTTCATGCGCACAACCTGATAGGTTGGTTTAATGTACAGTAGGTGTGGCTACATTAGCCCGGAATGTTTAAATACCGAGCAGCTGAAATGGACAAGCTGTTCGGGCTATGAGGAGTTGTACCGTGTCAGAAGAAGTCGATTGAAGAGCTGAATAAACTTGAGTTTTGCTGAATCACTCTCTGACTATTATTGTTAAGCACGGACTTAACAACCGAGACTCAATCCAGCCCTAATTCCACAACAGTTCATGCTGGCATAGCGCAGCTAATAAGTGACTTCATGGCATAACACACAATAAGTCGGTTAGTTTTGAAAGTGTAAGACAGAAACTCCGTCACGGGTTGTGCTTCCCCAGCTGCAAGATTGTGGGTGTTTGTTAACAAAGACCAACTCTGAATGCTTGCAAACAGGTCATTCTGAAGAGGATGCATGCACGTATCATAAGCGTTGCATATAAATACCAAATCGCTGCCTCCGTCCTTGCATTATATTTGGCAAGGAACCACTGCTTTCATTCCTCATCCCCTCATTCATGCAGACACAAAGGGACCCTGGTCGCATCTTAAAGACTACCACATTATGATGCAAGGTCGCCCAAAGCTTCTGCTATAATAAACAGGCACATTGGAGACAGTGAAAGATCTGTTTCCTTCTCTCAGGGGCAGTTCTCTCAGAGCTCTCCTTGCCCCGCCTACCTCACAGGGTGTCTGTTGTGAAGGGAAGGGAAAGGAGATTGTCAACTGCTCTGAGACTCCGAGTGAAGGGCGTATAAATCCAATCTCTTCTCTTCTTCGTGAGCTACTGACATTAAAGTTGTGAGCAGGCAATTTGGCTAGTTTGCTCTGGAGCCATCCTTCCTGAGCTAAAACAAAAATCTGAGCTGGAGGCTCAAAAACTGTGAGCTAGCTCACACTAACTCAGCTTAGAGGGAACACAGCTGGGAAGAAGGGGAGGGACATCAATGTAGTAAAATAAGAATAAATGCAGTGTTTGCTGTCTTTTGGGCTATGTTGCATACACATCGGGGGAGCAAAAATTATAAAACTGCTGCGATGCTATTATTTGGCTTTGCGACCCTTCCTCCGTCGCCGAACCACAAGAGGGGGCCAACGCCTTCCTTTTGGCTCGCCGGCGCCTCCCATCTGCGCAAGCGCAGGAATTCCGTGGGCGCGCGCCTCCCGACCGCCTCGCTTTGCATGTCTGCGCGTGCGCACCCTGGCCGGTGCTCGCGCGTGCGCAGGAGACAGGCTCGTGCGGGAGCCGTTCGTCGCGCGTGCGCTGTCGCTCCTCTTCTCCCGGCCGGTCCAGGAGGAAGGCGGCGAGCGCCGGCGGAGAAACTGCCGCTCAGCGGGCAGAGGGGAAAAGTCGTGTCGCGACAGGAGAAGCCCGGTCGGCCTCGACGGCTCTCGCCGCCGGCTTCCCCACAGAAGATATCCAGCCAGCGGCGGCAGCCGGTGAAGAAACGGGACAGGGGGGCGGAGATTCTTGGCCCGATTGTGAGGTAAGGGCGGGGCGGAGGAGGATGGATGGGGGAGCGAGCCAATGGCGGGGGGGGGCGCGCCGCGGCCGGTCTTCTTCATACGTTCTCTCCCCCCTCCCCCTTCCCCGCCATTGGCTCGGCGCCGCGAGGGGCGGAGTCACACTTTGTCCTTTGAATTTGACAAAAAAAATGAATGGGCGGCGAGGGGGAGGGGCGGCGCTGGGGAAGGAGAAGGAAGCGGATGCGGTCAAGGGGACGGAGCGGCGGGGAAGAGGAAGGAAGCGGGCAGGGGAATTGCAGTTGCCGCTGGTCCTGCTCGCCTCCCCGGCCAGGAACCGCCGGCTCTACGCTGTGCAGCGCCTGGCACGCCAGAGGGAGAAAGGGGACGGGCGGCGGGGCGGGGCCTCCCTCCCTCTCCCTGGGAGCGAGCCCATCTGGCGAGGCGCTGGGCTCATTAGCCGGCGGTGGGGTTAATCCTCCGCAGGGAGCGGACAATCTGCTGTGGAGGCGTGGAAGGGGATCTTCCTTGGGGGAGGGGCGACGGAAGGCCCTGCCTGCGCCAATGAAGTGGCCGGGAGACAGGAGGCGGGGCTGGTCTTTCTGAAGGGTGGCCTCCTCGTCAGATCTCCATAGCTAAGCAGGGTCGGCCCCGGTTGGGCCTTGGAAGAGAGACCACCGAGGAAGCCCAGGGTCGCCATGCAGAGGCAATTGCAACGGCAAACGACCTCTGTGCATCTCTGTCTTGACCTGGATGGCCCAGGCTAGCCCCATCTCGTCAGATCTTGGAAGCTAAGCAGGGTCGGCCCCGGTTGGTCCTTGGAGGGGAGACCACCAAGGAAGTCCAAGGTCACTACGCAGAGGCAGGCGATGGCAAACTGCCTCTGTTTGTCTGCCCTGACCTGCAATGTTACCTCTAATCCCCCCCCCCTGAGCGGAGCAGTTTACACCCTGAGCAGGATATAAAGGCTGTGATCTTCAAGTGGGCAATGGGCAGTGCCAGACCTTGCACGGCTCCAGGCCTTGGCCTCTGTGTCTTCTTGTTGTCCCTCCAGAGGAACTGGATGGCCACTGTGTGAGACAGAATGCTGGAATAGATGGACCCTCCCTGGTCTGATCCAGCACGGCTCTTCTGATGTTCTTATGAAGGCCTCAGCCTCCCTGCCCTGTTGCTGGTCCTCCAGAGGAACAGGTTGGCCCCTGTGTGAGACTGGAGGCTGGACTAGATGGACCCTCACTGGTCTGGTCCAGCAGGACTCTTCTTCTTAACTTGAATTTCTGGATTGTAATTTTGCGGCACAGTATTTTACAGCCCCTGTCTTTTCATTATGCTTGTTGGCAGTTTCACGCGTTGCGATGTGTGCAAAGATGAGGGAAGCAGGCGTATGGTATTACCTGGGCTGGGCTGGGATCCGCCAGCCTTGCTCTGCATCGCTGTGCAGCTCTCTGGAGTCACCGTCTCTCAGTCTGTTGCACTTTGTGGAGCTGCTGTGTGGATGAAATGGAGATAATCCCACACGGGGATGTTCTGCTGATGGGTGGGGAAGTGGGTGATATCTCCTAAGTTCCTTTCGCATTGCAAGACAGGTGGTTATTGCTGTCCTGGACAAGAAAGGGCCTAGCCTCAGCACTGTGTGCCTTTGGGCTTGCAGGTGCCATGCTGAGTCCTGAAGGTACTGCCGTGTCAGGGTGGGCCTGATGGGACTGGGGACAGTGGGACAGTGGTGGGTCATCAGCAGTGCAGCCCATTCTCATTGCAGACTTGGGAGATCTGGTTGCCTCCCAAAGGTGGTGACGGTGATTGAGGCGCCAGTTCTGCCGTGCTCGTCCACATATCTCCTGCTGCCCCATTGTTCACTGCTCTGCCCACCCTTTCCTTTACTAGTATGCTGTACAAGAATGTACAAGAAGAGAGCCAGTTTGGTGTAGTGGTTAAGCGCACGGACTCTAATCTGGGAGAACCGGATTTGATTCCCCACTCCTCCACTTGCACCTGGCTGGATGACCTTGGGCAAGCCGTAGTTCTGATAAGAGCTGTCCTTGAAAAAGAGCAGTTTCTGTCAGAGCTCTCTCAGCCCCACCTACCTCTGTCTGTTGTGGGGAGGGGAAGGGAAAGGAGATTGTAAGCTGCTCTGAGACTCCGAGTGAAGGGTGGGGTATAAATCCAATCTCCTCCTCCTCCTCCTCTTATTCTTCTTTTTAACTATATCTGTCCTGTAAATCTTAAGCCCAAGGGTTTCGCAACTTGGTTGCCAGTGAACCTATAGCCAGTAAAATAACAATAATGATATCACAGTGTCCCTAAGACCAGCTTGCAGCAAAACCAACCAGAACAGTATCTAAAGAAGTGAGCAGTGACTCACGAAAATTCACACCCTGCCACACATTTTGTTAGTCTTTAAGGTGCTACTGGACTCTTGCTCTTTTTTCCTGCTACAGACGGACTGACATAGCGACCCGTCTTGATTGGTACTCGGAATAAGATGAGCACTAAAAATGACAAGAAAACCCCAAATTGCCCAGCCAGAAATCTTTATTCTTTTAATCCCCAGGGAGGCGCGCTTGGCCCCCCCTCTTTTCTCCTGCTACAGACGGACTGACATAGTGACCCGTCTTGATTGGTACTTGGAGGGAATAAGATGAGCACTAAAAATTACAAGAAAACCCCAAATTGCCCATCCAGAAACCTTTATTCTTTTATTCCCCAGGGAGGTGCGCTTGGCCCCCACTCATTTTCGATCTTTGGGAGGCAGATGAGGAAAGTTTTGTTTAAGACTGTATTTTATTTACTGGAATTTCTAAACTGTACTTTTAAATTTGGGGTTTTAAATGTATTCTGTGTGTTCTATTTTATGTATTTTATCTATATTAGAAACCGCCTTGAGTTCCGTAAGACAGAAAGACAGACAGCTGATAAATATTTTACACAAAACACGTCACCTGGCACCCAAAACTGAGTTCAGGAGGTGTAACTTTCTCATCCCCATGAGCCAGGAACTGACATTACCCGTGTGTACCAGGATCAGTTCTCAAGGCTTCACTTAATAAGAACATAAGAGACGCCAATGTTGGATCAGGCCAAAGGCCCATCCAGTCCAACACTCTGTAAGCACCAAGATGACAGAGCATCACTTGCCCCAGAGTCCCTATCTATACCTTGTGGCTAATAGCCACTGATGGACCTCTGCTCCATATGCTTATCTAATTCCCTTTTGAAGCCGTCCATGCTTGTAGCTGCCACTATTTCCTGTGGCAGTGAATTCCAAGTGTTAATCCCTCTTTGGGTGAAGAAGTACTTCCTTTTATCTGTTCTAACCCGACCGCTCAGCAATTTCATGGAGTGCCCACGGGTTCTTGTATTGTGAGAAAGGGAGAAAAGTACCTCTTTCTCTACCTGCTCTTTCCCATGCATAATCTTATAAACCTCAATCATGTCACCCCTCAGTCGTCGTTTCTCCAAGCTAAAGAGCCCTAAGCGCCTTAACCTTTCCTCATAGGGAAAGTGTTCCAACCCTTTTATCATTCTAGTTGCCCTTTTCTGCACTTTTTCCAATGCTATAATATCCTTTTTGAGGGGTGATGAAGTACACGGTACTTCAAATGAGGTTGCACCGTTGATTTATACGGGGGCATTGTGATACAGGCTGATTGGTTTTCAATTGCTGTAGACCAGAGAGTCTTGATTGCAATGAGATCCTGAAAATGCGCCAGGAGAGTAGCAGAAGTACCTTTCCTGAGGCAGCCTGCCGTGTCCCTTGAGCCCGATTGAGGGGTGATCCATCCATCTGAAAACCAAACCCCAGATTGTTTGCAGGCTTTCAGTTAGAGGCCAGGCAGGTATTCTGCAGACTGCAGAGCTTCTGTTCAGCGTTACATGATGACTTCATACAGATGGACAGCAAAGCACCTGAACCCCCAATACAAGAACTCCTTGTGGGCACTCAATGAAATTGCTGAGCGTTCCAGTTAGAACAGATAAAAGGAAGTACTTCTTCACCCAAAGAGTGATTAACACATGGAATTCACTGCCACAGGAAGTGGTGGCGGCTACAAGCATGGACGGCTTCAAAAGGGAATTAGATAAGCATATGGAGCAGAGGTCCATCAGTGGCTATTAGCCACAAGGTATAGATAGGGACTCTGGGGCAAGGGATGCTCTGTATTCTTGGTGCTTGGGGCGGAGGGCAACAGTGGGAGGGCTCCTAGTGTCCTGGCCCCACTGCTGGACCTCCTGATGGCACCTGGTATTTTTGGCCACTGTGTGACAGAGTGTTGGACTGGATGGGCCTTTGGCCTGATCCAACATTGACATCTCTTATTGTCCTTATGTTCCAAACAAGGACCGTGTCCCGTTTTGGAATTCCCCTCTCCCACGTTTCTTGAAACAGGTTAGATTTTGCAGATTCTAAAGGGAAAGAGGAAGTGATGCGGCCAGGGGCAAATAATGATTCTGAAAGTGGGGTGGGGAAGTCTCCCTGTCTTCTCCCTGAAGCAGGAAAAGACAGTCATACAGGGAAACTCCAATTGAGAAGAGGGGACACCGAGGGCCCGACACGGACTTCCGGTCCAGTTTTTGAAATCCCTTTTCCCCTTTCTTTCTTCCCCCTTCTCTTCCACAAATGGGCACAGAGGAAGCACATACGTTGCAGATGAGGAGTTCATACTGAAAATGAGTGTGTCGAAAGCCAAGCAACGTGCTTAGTTGAGGAGGGAAGGTTTTTTTAAAAGGAAGATGCAGATAATCGCTGAATCCCACTCCCTCACGGGATGTTTGGCTGGAGGTCCCGTTTTCTGAGAATCGGCTTCTCCGGTGTTTAAGAACAACTCCAGTGATGTCAACTCCAAACACTGTGGTTGGCAGCGCTGGCTTTTGACACTCTCACTGAACAGCAGGTTGATTTGCAGGTGGCTGGCTGAGTCTGGCTGGCCTCGCTCCTGGGCACAGAACCGACCCTGCTATTCCTTCCCGTGTGTAGTTCTCCAGCCACTAAAGTGGAGGGGCGGTTGGGAGAATCCTAGAATCACAGAGTTGGAAGGGACTCTAGAGGCCATCTAGTCCCACCCCCTGCTCAATGTAGGATCAGCCTAGAGCATCCCTGACAAGTGTTTGTCCAGCCGCTGCCTAAAGACTGCCAGTGAGGTTCAAACCAGGGCAGCTGCCAGAAGGGTAGCCCTTTTTTTCTGTGGAAAATATCACATGGAGGGGTCCAGACTGCATTGGCCATTTCTGCCAGTTTCCCCCTTCCTGCTGCAGACCCTCTCACGTTGTTCTCCAGGGGAGGGGCTACGGCTCAGTGTTAGAGCATCTGACTGGTTGGCACGCAGAAGGTCCCAGTTTCAATTCCTGGCATCTCCGGTTTAAAGGACCGGGCAGTCGGTGTTGGGGAAGACACCTTCGTAACACCTTTGGAGAAGAAGAAGAAGAGATTGGATTTATATCCTGCCCTTCACTACCCAAAGGTGTCTCAGAGCGGCTGACAAACTCCTTTCCCTTCCCCTCCCCACAACAGACACCCTGTGAGGTAGGTGGGGCTGAGAGAGCTCTGACAGAGACTGCTCTTTTTCAAGGACAGGTCTTATCAGAACTACGGCTTGCCCAAGGTCACACCAGCAGCTGCATGTGGAGGAGTGGGGAATCAAACCCGGTTCTCCCAGATTAGAGCCAGGTTCTCCCAGATTGGAGCCAGGGCTAGTCTGAGTAGACAGTGTTGACTGCGACGGACCAATGGTCTGATTCAATATAAGGCAGCTTCGTGTGTGTGTTTACTTTGTATGATGTCAAAGACCTAAACATGAGACACCAGAGAGCCGCTGCTGGACTGATTGGACTGTCCTGACCCTGACGGGACCAGCAGTCCAGTCCAGTAGAAGGCAGCTTCCTGTGTCCCAAGAGCAGCATTTTGTGGAGATCAATGGGACAGAGGAAGATAAGGGGAAAAAATCAAATGCGCAGATATAGAATGGGAGGAACTTGGCTTGACAGCCGCTCATGTGAAAGGGACCTGGGTATTTTGGTTGATCACAAGCTAAACATGAGCCTGCAGTGTGATGTGGCTGTGAAGAAAGCTAATGCAATCTTAGGATGCATTCACAGAAGCATTGTGTCCAGATCACGGGAGGTGGAATAGTCAGGCCTCACCTGGAGTCCCGTGTCCAGTTTTGGGCACCACATTTTAGGAAGGACGTTGACAAGCTCGAGCGTGTCCAGAAGAGGGCAACCAGGATGGTGAGAGGGTTGGAATCCAAGTCTTACGAGGAAAGGCTGAGAGAGTTGGGTCTGTTTAGCCTGGGAAAGAGAAGGCTTAGAGGGGACGTGATGGCAGTCTTCAAGTATCTGAAGGGCTGTCATGTAGAAGATGGAGCGGATCTATTCTCTCTTGCTCCGGATTGCAAGACTAGATCTAATGGGTGGAAATTGCAAGGGAGTTAGTTCCGGCTCAATATCAGGAGAAACTTCCTAACTGTAAGAGTGGTTGGGCAGTGGAACACAGACTGCCTCGGGAGGTGGTGGATCCTCCTTCGCTGGACATTTTCAAGCGAAGGCTGGACAACCATCTTCCGGGTATGTTGTAGGCAATGCTCCCTCTAAGCCGTGGAGTCTTGTGAGCAAAAATTCTACTTGGTGAGCTACTGGCATTAAAGCTGTGAGCGAGCGATGTGGCTGCTGCATAAATCAGTTTGCTCTGGAGCCATCCTTCCTGATCTAAGGCAAAAATGTGTGAGTCAGAGGCTAAAAAACTGTGGGCTAGCTCACACTAACTCAGCTTAGAGAGAACACTGGTTGTAGAGCTCTTTCGGCAATGCTCCTGCAGAGTGCAGGGGGCTGGACTAGATGACCTGCAGGGTCCCTTCCAGCTCTAACATTCTATGATTCTATGAAGAAAGGTCCACTTTGTCACTGGAGGATGTAGTCGGGTGGGCCCGGGAGTAGGAGACCCGGCGTGGCGCAGGAGGCTGGAGCAAAAGAGCCGGAGGGGCCGGATGGCCCAGAAGGCTCCAGGGAAGCAGAACCGTCATGCTCAGACCGGGGAGTGGAGGTGAGACCTGCAGATAGGCGGCTGCAAGTCTCGGTCTGCAGCTCAGCTCGGTTTCTCTTCCTCCCCTCCCCGGCATGAAAGAGCACCGAGTTTCTGGTCCTCTGCCGAGATCCCTCCCGCGCAGATGTGGGCAGTCAGACCGAAAGCGCGGCTGTGCCCTGCAAGCCTCCCAGTAGTCCAGAGGACCTAAAGCTTGAGTGCCGAAGGGAGACGCCGTCAGTGGGAGGAAGAGGACGTGCCCTCGGCGTTCCAGGCGAGCTGCCCGGCCAGGCTCGAAGGTGGCCCCGGAGAGCTGCTTGCTTTTGCTACCCTGGACCCAACGAGGTTTCCCCCACTAGGTTGTGGGGGGGAGGGACGGCCCTCGCGGGGCGGGGCCTATGCAGATTGCGAGGAGGGTGGGCCAGCGCCTGCCTGCCTGCCTGCCACTAATCCCTGCTGTCTCTCCTCCATGTTCTCTCCAGCAGCACTCCCTCCACTGAGATTTCCCCAGATCTGAGCCCGTCCTCCCTCTCCAGGGGGTGAGTACTCTCTAGCTGCTCTCCAGATCCCACTAGGGTGTCGCCCGGCCATTGTTACCCAGCCGGCCTCCTGGGAGGTGCAGGGATGCTGCCTCTGCCCAGTTCCTGGGCCGCTTTCCTAGTTGCGGCGCAACAGCTGTGTAATGAAACTCCCCCCCCCACTTCTGCCGGCCTTGAAATCTAAGCCAAGGTGATCTCCCTGGCACTCCCGCCCACCTGGGAGCCAGCTGCCCAGCCTGAAAGGGGAGGTCTCCGCTGAGCTGCCCTCTCCTGTTGACTCTCCGCCGCCGTCCTGGACTTCTCCGACTCCTGGGAAAGGACGCGCTCCCCGAGCCATTGTTGGATCAAAAGCAAATACGTATGAAAGCCTCACCCAGCACTTTTCCCTTAAAAAAAATAATAATCAGGAAGC